CCTGACCTGGTGCTGAGGAGGTAGCTCTGTGAGGTTAGACAAGAAGCTCTGCTCTGCTGCCCCGGAGCAGGGCCATGTCAGCCTCTGTTGGCCGATCCCCGGGGGCCATGGGCATGGCCTGGACATTTCCGTGTGTGATGGAGACTCGTTCACCTGTCTGCATTCTTTCTCCAGCAGTCGTGCTCAGACAGGTTCTGAGCCACACAGACGCACCCCCGTTCTTACTCCTTCAATATTCCCTGTAGGTGTGGGGCGTGGGCAGCCGTGCCAGTTGCGTGCACCTCCCCGAAGTGCAAGGGATGTGTTATGGCTGATAGCACCTCTCAGGCTGTGTTCCCTGTTTTTTCTGTTTTCACCCCCTTTCTGGAACTGTGGCTGAGAGCTATGAAGGGCCTCAAAGGTTCAGGCAATGTTTACCTCTGAGAATCACATAATAAAGTCAATTCAGTGTGCTGCGAAAGGTGGTTATTGCTGTGACAGTGTCCGTAGTTCCATGGGCAGGTAGGGGGACATTTTCCATGGCTTGGGAGAAGGCATGGGGATTATTTTATCACCTTTTATTAGAGGGTGGCAGACTGTGGCCTGTGGGCCAAATCCAGCCTGCTGCCTGTTTGCCAACCCCTGCCTTTGTCATTCTGTGGAAAGGATTTTTCTTGGCAGAGGGCCCCAGAGAGCCAGTAAGAAGTACGTAGAGAAGTTACTATGTAGTGGGGACAGAATTTCAGTGTGGGATGATAAAAATTTCTGGAGATAGTTAATGGTGGTGGTTGTACAACCTGAATATACTTAATGCCATTGAACTGTACACTTAAAAATAGTTAAAACAGTAAATTTTATGCTATGTACATTTGACCACAATTACAGAAAACTTAAAAAAAAATTGGATAGAAGAGCAATATACAGAAATCAGTCTCAATTGGAGGGACTAATATTTCTGAGCACCCCCGAGAGCCCGACACTGTGCTAGAATTTGATAGTGCTTTCTTTGTAAGCCTTATTATGACCACACGTGGGTACGATCAGCTCCATGTCATAGCAGGATAAACTGAGACTTGGAGTCGAAGTGACTTGCTGAAAGTCACCCAGTGAGAGGAGGGAAGTCCAGCATTCGACCCCAGGTCTTTCTGAACTTATTTTGCCGTAGATGTTGGCGTCTAAAGGAAAGCTGGAAAAATGGGGGCAAAATGGTTTTGGTTTTGGTTTTTGCCCAGAGGATTTTTGTCTTAGTCCATTTAAGTTGCTATAATAAGCCACAATAAACTGGGTAGCTTAGAACAATCAGAAATCTGTTTCTCACAGTCTGGAGGCTGGGAAGTCAGAGATCCAGGCAGACTGGTGTCTGGAGAGGGCCTGCGTCTTACTTCTCAGAAGGCCATCTTTTCACCGTGACCTCACATGGTAGAAGGGGCAGGAAGGGGTCTATCCTGAGCCTCTTTTATAAGGGAACTAATCCCATTCATGAAGGCTCTGGCCCCATGACCTGATCACCTCCCAAAGGCCCCACCTCCTAATGCCATCACCTTGAGGGTTAGGGTTTCAACACATGAATTTTGGGGGGACATAAACATTCAGACCATAGCAACTTTTTAGAGTGATACGAAAGTACTCAAAATCTGAGGTTTGTCGGGTTTTGTCTTTTTTCCTGGCCCTCTCACCTGTCCTTGAGCATGTCAGGGACAGAGCATGGGGAACCTGAATGATGCTCGGCCTCCCCAGGGAAGAGGGGACGTCTAGTGGAGACCCTCACCTGCCTGCTTTGGTGCCCAGATGAGGGCACTTCCGTTTTGTCATGACTGCCCGAGTGACCAAGCCTGCTGTGCTCTGCCTGTGGCCACGTTCCAACAATCCTGTATCTGCTGCACACATGAGGTGCTTCCTGCCAAGATAAAGCCGACTCCTCACATAATGAGCCCTGACCGCCCCCCGCCCCACCTGTCACACCAGTGCCCAGAGGCCACCTCGCAGTAGACCGCGACTTCACCAAGGCCTTGTTCTCATTTCTGATTTGCTCTTTTCCTCTTTTCTCTTATTTTTGTCCTTCTTGGTTTCAAACTTGCATAGGTAGCTCTTTGTTCCTGCCAGTGGAAACTCCCCTGTCCTTTCCCGGTCATCTACATTCTTATGCTTTGTGGCTGAGGCATGTCATAAGCACTCGGGGTTTTTCCACACCGAGCAGCGTCCACGTCCTGACCATAGACTCAGGAGCCATATAGGTAGCTGCAGGGACGGGGAGACACCTGTGGAAGCTTCTGGGTTACTAAAAGTGACAACCTTCTCGATGCTTTTAAACTTACTTTGACCTTATCTGGTTGTACTTGGTACAACCATTGTGAGCTGACTTGAATTAATTTATTTTGTCTTAAAGTAGGCCCTTTAAAATAAAGTGGTTTGTAGATAGCACCATATTGGGGAAAATAAATCCATGTTGAAAATGAAATTGTGTAGAGGGCTTAGAGAAGCAACTCTAAATTTTGTTATTCTTTTTATTTTTTTAAAGCAAGTCAACCAGGGAGCTCTAATCTTGTTTCTCGGGTACCTATTAAGTTCTTTCTCAGGTACAGAGTTCATGCTGTTCCTTTCACTCCAAAAAGCAAAACAAAACTCACATTTAATTATAAAAGTAATGTACTTCCTATTGTAAAATCCAGAAAAGTTTAAAGAAGAAAATTAATAAAAGTCAGAAAATCCCTTCACCTTGATATAATTCATTAGCATTTTGCAGTTTTTCATATATACGTATACTTTTTTAAAAAGCAAAATTGAGATCTTATTCTTTCTCCTGAAATTATACTGAAATCATGGAAGCATTTTCCTATGCCGTTAAATCACTCTTATAAACATCACATGGATGGTCCATAAATTGGTGAACCAGTCCTGTTTTGAGCAATATATTTGCAGTTTTACACAGTTATAAATAATTCATCTTTGTAGTTAAGTCTTTGCCTTCATTTATGATTATTTTCTTGGGAGAGAATCTTAGAAGTGGAATTATTGGATCAAAGGATGTGCATATTTTTGCATTTCTTCTGTGTGGACAAACTGCTTTCCAGGAAAACTTGGACTAAAATAGGCATCCCACCAGCAGGGAAAGGGAGAGAAAGAGAGAGTCTGATGTTTTCTCTTTAGCATTTAGTGTTTACAGCTATTGATAATTTGTTAAGTGAAAAGTAAGTAGTACCTCATTGGTATCTTAATTTATATTTTATTATTGGTGAGGTTGAACACTTTTCCTGTTTTTTATTAGCCACTTTTATTTATTTAATTATTTTGTTCATGTCCCTTGGCACTTATTCTGTGAAGTGTTAGCATTTTTCTTATATATTTGTAAAAGCTCTCATTATATTAAGGTTAGTAACCCTTTGACATAATTGCAGATATTTTTCTCTACCTGGTTATTTGTTGATTGAATGCGTGTTTGTATGTATGTAAATTTTCTGTTTTATGTAGATAGCTCCATCTTTATGCTTTTTCACTTTTACTCTTATTGCAAATATTCAACGTTCTTTTCTGAATTTGGGGGGATACAAGTTTTATTCTTTAATTCACATGTAGTCCTCTTTCTGGTCCATCTGTCATTTTCCATGTGAGCTGCTGTTTGGATTAAAGTAGCGGTGAGCTTTCCTCATCCCCTTTTTCCAACATCCTTTTATATGAAGTTAAAAGTCACTTTGTCTGGGGCTGGCCATTTAGCTCAGCTGGTTAGAGGATGGTGTTATAACACCAAGGTCAAGGGTTTGGATCTTTGTACCAGCCAGCTGTAAGCCCCCATCCCACCCAACTCCTCCCCCCAAAAAGTGTCACTTTGTCTAGGTTAAAAAAGAAAAATTCCCTCAAGGAATCAATTCAGGAAAAAGATACTGGGGCTTCAGTGCAAAAAGTATGAGTAGAATGAGTAGGGATGCATTTTGCAAAATGTGACTTTGCACAGTTGTGAATACTCAGTCAGGGCATCTTGCCAAGTATCCTGTGTACCAGCTGAAGAATCCACAGGGCAGTATGTTGTAATAAAAGGCTATTTTTGCACTCCTAGACTCCTGCAGTGGAAGATCTTGTCCTATTTCCAAACCAGATGCATCCTTCTGGTTGATAGATTCCACTACTTCCTGGCTTACATGTCTATGCTTAGGGCCAAACCTTCGTGTTCTGTCAGCAGAGCATGTGCCAGTGCTATGTGGTCCATAAGGGCTCAGCTGCTTTTTCATATCCAGAGGGTATGCCAGCCCTAGGGCAGGACACCCAGGTATTTTCTCAACTGTGAGAAAATCAGTAGTTTTCTAATCCTGGCTCCCTATGGTTTCATAGAGGTTCTTCAGGGGTTTTGCTAACTGTGAAGCATTTTATGCCCAACCATAAAGATGTTAATCAGCTAAGTGTTTCATTGCTTATTTAATATATTTGGGTTCTCTGTAGGGTTTTTTTCTGTTGCTGAGCTGTTCAAAAAGCCCTAGACATACTAAGATCTCTTCTAATTCTTCTTTTTTTTTTTTTTTTTTTTTGTCTTTTGTCTTTTTCCGTGTCCGGCAACGGATCGCAACCCTCAGTGTTGCCCCCATACCGGACCGGGGACCGGCAACGGGATCGCAACCCTCGGCGTTGCTCCCGCGCCTCGCTCAGCCAGTGAGCGGGAACCGGTCTGTACGTGGGATCCGAACCCTCGGGCGGGAGCGCCGCCGCACTTCCCAAGCGGTGCACTATCCAGTGCGCCACCAGGCTGGCCCGATCTCTTCTAATTCTAAAATTATATAGCAATATACCTTCTCACACCATCAGCTTACCCAAGGGTCTTTCCCAAAAGTGATCTCCAGGTGTCAAATTCTGTCCCATTTGATAGAGTAGGAAACCAAGGTCCACTGTTCTCTGCATCTTTTTTTCTTGTCCCCCAGTGCCTGGTGGCTCCAGGACATGCACATCCTGTGTTCAGGTGTGGAATTCCTCGTTCACCTCTTACCACCTTCTTACCGCTCACTTCATGATCATGAGCTATATTCTTTCTGTCTCAGGCAGGGAACGTGGTGACGGGAGAGATGGTAGAAGAGCTTATTCTTTCTGGAGCAGACATCATCAAAGTGGGAGTTGGACCAGGTAAGACGTGTTGGGAGCACAGCAGAGGCTATTTGTGGGAGGAATGGGACCTGAGCTTGGGCGCACTGGAAATGGCTGGAAGGGAATGCATGGATGACTCATACACAAGTTTAAAGCACTTTTAATGGTGAGAAATGTCATTGAGCTGCTTTCTGATGTCCCCAGAGACCTTTTAAATGAGCTTGAATGTGGTTAGGATATGAGGTCTTGGCTTCATAACATTAATGTGGTCAAAAAGAATGCAGATTTCACTAAAGATCTTGTCTACCTTCAAGACGAATGTGAGGGGTGAAGAATCCATGGCGACGGTTAATGGATGTGAATGACTCAAGTTTATATGAATGTTTGAGGGACCCCAAACATTGCAAATAGGCTTGCAGCACATTCGAGGTTGACCTGTGGCCCAGGCAGTTAGCACCTTTGGCTCCTCACCTGATACACCTGGTTGTAGATTTTGCCCATATCCTTCTTTCAGGCATTCTCTTCTAGGACCACCCACTGGCATCTTGAGTGGAGGAACGAGGTAGAACCTTTCCATCCTTATGCATGGGGGTACCATTTTCTCTTGGGGCCAGTTGGTGTCCCCCTTCCCCTTTTGCATACTTGAGGATGAGCTACCATGTTTTAAAGTTCGTCCTTGCACATCCCTTATTAACCAGACACTAAAAGTGGAGGGAAGGCAAGAAAATACACATTTTCAGCTGGGACTAAAAAACAGCATAGATTTAAAAAAATATCTCCCACCCAAAAGACACTACCAAAAAAGGAAGCAAACCACAAACCAGCATGAGAGGAGTCTGCAGGAAAGAGTGTGGAGAGGCGAAGACACCATTGTGTTGTGACTTGGCACAGTTTTCCCTTGGGAATAGGATACATAGGAAGAAAACATTAGGAAAAAGAACCTGAAGGGTTATAAAAATACCCAAGCTTTTAACATACAGGGATATTTTTAAGATTGGATTTTTTGTAGTGCTACTCACGTAAGCCAGTTAATAACATATTCTGAGCAAGAAGAAAGATAACTCTGGTCTTTATGGAGTGTCTTCCGTTATTGACAAGTCAAGAAGAGGATGAGGCTACTTCTTGCTTCCAAGGAGCCTCCCCTCTTGGGATAATAGGCTGTAATAGACAGGCTAATAATATAATAGAAGAGACTAATAATAGACCGCTAAGACTTTTTCCCCCAGAGGTGGGGGCACTCACCAGTCGCCCATTTAAGTAGGAATATGTACTGAGTGTCTACAGCTTCCGCTGTGCTGCGCAGGTGCTGTATGGGCTGTGGGGGTGTGTGAGCAGGATTCTTGGCTCTCAAAGTGCCTTTTTCAGTGTAATCTTGAGCATTCAGCTGCACATGTTACCTCTATGCACATCCTCTGTGTATATATACTTCCCCAGAAGACTTATTTATCATCTTTCCACTGTCATCATCCCCCGCCCTCCCTGCCTCACACCCCAGTGTCTGTCTAGAACAGACATGACTCAAGAGAATCAGGGGCCTTCTTGGAGCCTGATACATGGGAGCTGCTTCTTTAAATTGGAGATGACATTTAACTTTTGCAAATTCTTTATAGTAAAAACACGAGGTAGTACATATCTAAATGAGCGTTATAAAAGGTTCCTTACTGAGCAACTCCTGTGCTAAATGGGTCATCATTAATGCTGGAAAAAAGCATTAAAAATGGGTACCTCCATTCCGCTAATGGAGAAAATACGTTCTTGGTTTCCGCTTTCACCCGGGTGTTAATCAGGACCACTCTGTGCCTTTATTTGAAACGTCTTCCTTGGTTGTTTCCATGAAAGGCAATTGGCCTAAGCCCCAAGCCCACTACAGCTGAGGCCTGTCTCCCTGCCCCTGGATCTAGCAATTGAGTGGGAGTGGGGAAAAACCAATGATGGACCCGAGGTTATAAGTTTCATATTCTGCCTTGCACAGTGCACGTCCGGTTGCAGCAGCAGAGGGTGCCTTGGTGGGAGTGAAGTTTGTCGGCTTCAGGACTAGAGCTACACGTGGAGGGATGCCGTGAGTGGACGTAGGGAGGGTTCTGCCCCACAGCTGGCTTCAGGAGAAGGCGTTGCCCTGGTCCCCTCCTGGTGGTTCTGCTAAAGCCAGGCCTGGGGGGTAGAGACACGCTGTTCTGTCTGATCTTGTCCCTGGAGGCCTCTGGAGGAAACTTGTGGAGGCTCTGAAGCTACTGGTGGTGGTGAGGAGCAGGGGAAGAGTCTGAGCTTGGGGCACCTCTCCCCAAGTCTGATGGGCAAGGAGGTCACACCCTGCATTTACATGGCCCCAGAGCGCCCCCTAATGGATGCCACGAGACACCCAGGAGGGGCTGCCTGAGCGGCAGAGCATGGAGACAGGGACGTGGGTGACTCACTCATGCTTGAGTTCATGCATTCTTTCAGCGACTATTTATAGCGCCCTCATTCTGCACGAGGCTCTGTTCTCAGCACCGGATGGACAGCAGTGACTGTCAGTGGAGCTTACCATCCAGCAGAGAACACAGGTCCTCAGCGTTCCTACACACATAATTATTTTAGTGCCTCTTTTTGAAATGAGGGCTGTAACGAACAACTTCACTGGACCAGTGACATTTAAGATGAAGCCTGAGAGATGAGAAAGGCTGGCTAGACGAGGGGATTGGTACAGAGAGGAGGGAGGACATCATGTACAGGGTCCCTAAGGTGGAATGAAACTTGCCCTGTTGGAAGGACTGAAAAGTCCATGGTGAGCAGCAGGGGAGATGAGAGGGTGGCAGGTGCCAATTTGGGTAAAGCGTGGGGGGGGGTGCTCACTTGCTGGTAGCAGCGGGGAGAGACTTGAGCAGGGGACATGTGATAAAGATGTCGGAGCTCCCAGCATGACTTGGCTTGCACCTAACTGGGATAATCCAGCCAGGGCCGGGACTGACAGTAGGGAAGGCAGGAGGCCCAGGCAGGAAGGCATCTGGGAACTGATGTGGGGCCTGCAATGGAAGCAGACCTGGGGTCTAGGCCGGACAAGACACCGGCCAGAGCAGATGGGGTGGGAGAGGGACTGCGAGATCGGGAAGGACAGCAGTGGGGTCACACCGAGGACCAAGGCGAGCAGGAGCGAGGGTGGAGGATTATGGTTCGTGCGGCTCCCTTTTCTCTAGGGCTTCCTGGAGGCCGGGCCCTGGGCCAAGCCATTTTCCTCCCTCCCGCCTTTTGGTCTGGGTCACCCCCTGGGAGGGATGGGTGTTCGTTGCACAGGCGAGGCAGTGAGGCTTAGAAAGGCTGGTGATTTGATGAAAGTTGAAGAGGAAGAAGCTGCGAGGCCGTGGGATTCTGAGAGGGCCCTGAGAGCTGAGTGCACTGCGGGGACAGGCGTGGCACAGTGCAAAGGGCACTTTCAGCGTGGATGGGTCTGTGCTTAGCTGTTATGTGGGGCTGATGCCATGGGGGACAGTGATAGCGATGGGGTGGGCGGTGGAGGGCAAGGCAGGACATGTGCTGTGACAGCGACGAGGACTGTAGGGTGCCATGGCTCACAGCGAGCTTGTTGGCCAGGTGGCAAGGCTCACAGTGAGCTCATTGTGTTGGCGGCAGTCCTGCCCCTCCCCAGGCATGGCTCCTCTGTCTTGCAAGGTCCACCCTGTCATGAAGGGCTGTGAAGGTGAGGGGACTCCTTTCATGCCATGTTCTGCCTGTGCCTGTCTCTCATTGGGCTCCACTTCCTCCTCTGTGCCAGGTTCCGTGTGCACCACCCGCACCAAGACAGGGGTGGGCTACCCCCAGCTGAGTGCCGTGATCGAGTGCGCCGACTCTGCCCACGGCCTGAAGGGGCACATCATCTCTGTAAGTCTCCCAGCGAGGCCTGTTTCCTGGCTGCCCTTTCTCCGTGGGGCATCCTGTGGGTTTGGGAGGGAGCTGGGCACTGAGATTGCAGCAGCGACATTCAGCAGAGACAGGCCTTGCTCCCCACGTGCTCTGCAGTGCAGGCGGCAGGCATGTCGGCACTGGCAGTATAAGGTGGTAGGTGGTGTAACGGGAGATGCATGGGCAGCTCTGAGAACACAAGGAGGGCCATGCAGTAGTCTGCTAGGGCTGCGTAACCAAGTACCACAGACAGGGCAGCTGAAACAGCAAAAACTCAGTGTCCCACAGTTCTGGATGCTACAAGCCTGAGATCAGGGTGCTGGCAGGGCCACCCTCCCTCTGAAGGCACCAGTGAAGGATCTGTTCCAGGCTCCTCTCCTAGGTTAGCCTTCACATGGCTTTCTCCCTGTGTGTCTGTCCAAATTTCCCCTTCTTATAAGGACACCAGTCCTGTCCGGTTACAGGCCACCTTACTCCAGCATGACCTCATCTTAACTGATTATCTCTGCAGTGACTCTATTTCCAAATAAGGTCATATTCTGTGGTACTGCAGGTTAGGATGACAACATGTGAATTTTGGAGGGACACAATTCAACCCATAACAAGACACGTATCCCAGATTCGTGGGTCCAGAAAGGTTCCTGGAGTAAGTGATAGACCTGACAGCTAAAAAGGAATTTTCCAGATGAAGGGGACAAAAGGAATTGAAAAGCATTGGAAAAGCCAGAGAAAATGACACATTCAAAAACGTCAAAGTAAGGCTGGTTAGCTCAGTTGGTTAGAGTGCAGTGTTATAACACCAAGGTCAAGGGTTCGGATCCCCATACTGGCCAGCCACCAAAAAAAGAAAAATGTCAAAGTCACTGTGTCTGGAGTGAGTGAGCTGGGATTGGGCAGGAGTGAGGGAGCATCAGGATATAAGCTCCAGAGGAAGGATAGACAAGAACCGTGGGGGCCACAGTAAGGATCAGACTTTCTCCTAAGAGCACTAGGGAGCTATTGAAGAAGTCTAAGTAGGGGAGTGCCCAGTGGATTGATTTGTCTTTCAGAAGCATGAAACTGGTTGCCCTGGGGAGGACTGGAAAGGGGCAAGGTGAGAAGGGAGGCCAGCTGGGAAGGTGTAGTAATTCAGGGGGAGGTGAAGGTGCCCTCCAGTAGGTGGTGGAAGTGAGACTTGAAAGCCATCTGCAGAACTGACTGACATCTAGGAAGCAGAATTAAGCCTCGGCAACTGACGGGGCATTTGCGGGGCTGGTACGGGAGAAGGAAGAGCCTGGAATGCTGCTGTCCCACCTGCTGCTGCACTGAGCAAATGAATGACCCCAGAAGAAGGGGTGTCAGGGATCGGTAGGGAGTTCACTTTGGGATGTGTTGATTTTGAGGTGCTTGAGGGGCATCGAAGAGGAAATCCATTAAGCATGGGTTCCTGGGTGGGAGACCTGGGAGCTAATAGCCCGTAGATCATGAGAGTGGAGAAGGGTGAATGGTGAGAGGTGAAGGTGATCTGGGGCCGACCTCAGAGAAGCCTGCCAAGGAAAGTGAGGAGCAGGCCAGCGAGCCCAGAACTACAGAAGGCCAGGGAAGAGTGTCAGGCAGCAGGGAGGTGGCAGTGGTGTCAGATGCTGCCTGCGGGTCACGGGGAACCAGGGAGAGCAGATTCTGTGGCTCGTTGGGGGCTGTCTCAGTTTGTTTTATGTTGCTATAACAGAATTCCACAGATTGGGTAATTTACAATAAACAGAAATTTATTTGATCATGGTTCTGGAGGCTGGGAAGTCCAAGAGCATGGTGCCAGCTTCTGGGGAGGGCCTTCGTGCTGTGTCATCCCATGACAGAGGCAGAGGGGAAGGGAAGGGAAGGGGAGGGTGAGAGAGAAAGGGCCGAAGTCATCCTTTTACCTGGAACCCACTCCTGCCACAGCTAAACCATTAATCCATTTGTGAAGACAGAGCCCTTATGGCCTAGTTGCCTCCCAACCCACCTTTTAATACTGTCACAATGGCAGTTAAATCTCAACATGTGTTTTAGAGGGGACATTCAAACCATCACTGGAGCAGAAGTTAAATTTTTGTGGGTTGAGAAATGTACGGGAAGGAGGGGGGTGGGAAGAGGCAGACAGTTTTCTAACAGCACTCTCAGCAGGCTCCTGGAAGAATGGTGCCCCGTCCTCAGCTGCCAGATACTCCTAAGGATGAGTGAATTCATGCCACATTAAAATCTGTCCTCACCCTATCTGTGCATCTGCTGCAACTTTACCAACGTGACCACCGTTCAAACAGTTGCAGGTAGTTATCATGAGATGAGATGCTCAGAACAGGACAGAAGAACGTTATGTCTGATGGACTATGACAGAACGGTGGTTTCTGCTTATGTGGATGATACATATATACATACATACACATACACGCATACACAATACATATACACACACATGTGCGCACATACACAGTTGACCCTTGGACAATGCAGGGTCGGGGCGCTGACCCCCCTGTGCAGTGGAAAATCTGCAAAAATAACTTTTGGCTCCCTGCAAACTTAACTACTAACAGCCTAACGTTGACTGGAAGCCTTCCTGATAATATAAACAGTCAATAACACATATCTTGTATGTTATACGTATTATATACTGTATTTTTATGATAAAGTAAGCTAAAGAAAAGAAAATGTTAGTAAGAAAATCATAAGGGAAAATACATTTACAGTACTGTACTGTATATTTATTGAAAAAAATCCACATATAAGTGGATCTGTGCTGTTCAAACCCGTGTTGTTCAAGGACCAACTGTACGTGTGTATATACACACACACATATATGTATATATGTATATAACACACTGCCCATGCTCCAAACACTTCCCATGGGACGGGCCATGCTCCATTCCCTTGCACTGACTCGCCAGCCTCTGAGTGGCTCCGTTTTTGTTGTTGTTGTGGCTCCTCGGTCCTATGTGGGTCCATGGGAACCCTATTAGTGGTCTTGCTGGCCTGGGAGGTCCTCTTCTCCCCTGCCGCCTCCAAGCAACTTCATCCAAAGGGCACAGCTGCAGCTTTTGCCAGCTCTTGCTCCGTGTGCTCACCAGCTCCAGCCTGGAAATGGCTGGGATTCAAAATAGTTGGAGTGGTTTTTTTCTTTCTCTCATCATGGCTTCTCCCATCTTCATGAACTCCGTAGATCTCTCCTCCTCTTCCCCTGGGCTCTAGCGTCCCCAGCTTGGCTATTGTTGGTTTTTTATAGTTGTAAATTGGTTGATTTGTGGGAGTGATGCTGGGGACTGTCTGCTCCACCATCTTGACTGGAAGCCTTGATAGGTGATTTTTTAAAAAACCCAAATGCAGGAAATTATATATCCCTGGGGTATGACACCTTGTTGATTTTAGCTCAGCATTTCAGTGTTTTGAGGTCTCATTTCTGGACCTGCTTTTAGGGCATTATTATACTCTCCAAAACCCCTTAGGTGCACAGGATCTCACTGCAGCCTTATGACAGCATTTGAGAACCCTAGTCTTTGTTTCACATCACAGGACTTTCAGTAAGCATTATTATACTCTCCAAAACCCCTTAGGTGCACAGGATCTCACTGCAGCCTTATGACAGCGTTTGAGAACCCTAGTCTTTGTTTCACATCACAGGACTTTCAGTAAAACCAAAGCTTGGGTCCTGTTCCTTGACTTGCAGTCCAGTGCAGAATGTCTGTGCTGCTTCTAGTCCTTCATCCAAGTTTTTCATCCACCCATCCACTTATTCAGCATGTATTTATTATCTACTGTGTGCTAGAAGCTAAAATAAATGTTCAAAGGTTTTTGAAAGAGTTCTAAGACCCTCCACTCAATACCCTTTCTGTTAGCTATTGCCCCAGTAAACAAATTACTAACACCCATGTATTGAACAAGTAGTATGGAAAAGACTGGCACAGAACTGACAATCTCATTTGCTAGGTGAGGTTATTTGATTCACTGAGCAGTACCATTCCCCAGCAGTCACCAGCAGTACCTTCTCCAGAATGCCAGTGGTTCCCAAAGGCTGGCTGCATGAGAGTCACCAGGAAGCTTTTATAATACACATTCCTGGACCCCATCCCAGTGAATTAGGCTCTTCCAAAGGTTGGCCCCCAAAAGCCCCATATGTAATTGTTCATAAGTCACCATTACTTGATAATGTTCACTGTTGAGAGTCTTAATCAAAATTTGGACCCTAAATCATACATATTACTTGAATGACCACCATTTCCAAATAGTGAAGGTCAAATTAATTACGTTTTGCCATGAACTTATTATGAAATACCATACTTATATCTCTAGAAACTTCAAGCTTGCTTAGTGTACAGGGCTGTTTGGCCAAAGATTGGGGGTAGAGAGTGGTGGAGGCTCTCTTGACAACTTAGGATCTCTTGACACAGCATCACCTAATTTATGGCTTTTTCCATCAGTTCTCTAAGTGTGGTACCTAGACCAGCAGCATCAGTATGAACTGAGAACTTGTTAGAAATTCGTGGGCCCCACCCCAGACCTGACCCACTGAATCAGACACTCTGAAGGTGAGGCCCAGAATCTGTTTGAACAAGCCCACTAGGTAATTCTGATGTGTCCTCAAGTTTGAGAACCACTGATTTATATAGTAGAGACTCAGCATACACTGGCTGCATTAGTGTTCCAGATCCAGGTTTCGTCTGCTAGTGTCCAGGGAGCAACTTCTCTCAATTTGTCATTAGGGACAGTGACAGCTGAGACCTGCGATACTGGTGCTACAGGAACGTAGCACTTCTGATCCTACCTGTGGGCTCCAAAATTCTTACATTTCCATTAATGGTGAGAGATATCCTAGATGGGGCTAGGAGTTCAATTTGTAGTCAGAAGACCAAATGAAGTTCACCGACATACAGAATTTGGACCCTCGACTTCAGCTCTTTCCTTCTGACCAGTTGAGCATCTTGGGGTTCAAAGCAGCCATCGCCCCACCATCCCTTTGTCTAATGGAGTTCCACAGGCAGGTTTCTCCCACTTGCCGATAGTCCTGAACCTGCTGGAGCCCCATCAGATGTTTTGGATCACACCACTTTGTTTAATTTCCTTCCAGTTGTCTGCTCTTACACTTGAATTGCTGAATTACAACATCTGTGCTATTGAAGTTCAGAAGGAAGCCACAGCATGGTGTCTGTCCAGCAAGTGCTTATACCCAAGAGGCTGGGCTTGAGTCTTGTTTCTATTTATTGTGGTTTCATGGGCTTCAGAAAAGCAGAGAGTGGAAGTTCTCAGGACACTCCCTGCATAGGCAGAGAGTAAGGGTGACCCGTTAATTTTTTCTTGTCATGTGTTTATTTAGAAAGACCTAAACAAATTCATTCAAATAATTTAATCTTTTCTTTTTTGAGGTTTGAAAAATTTCCCAACAAAACATGTTCAACCTAGGAAAAGTTAGAAATGCAAATAAACGTAAAAAAGAAAAATATTATAAGAAATGCTATCACCTTAAGATGACAATTGGTTCTAATCTTGTTCTTCCATTTTTATAGCTGTGTGACCTTAGGAAAGTTACTTAACCTTTCTGAATCTCATTTTTTCCCCATCTACAAAATATCAACTTTAGGTTCTTGTGTTTGAATGGAAAATGACTATTACGTTTGTAACAGTTCCTGGCTCACAGTAGGTGCTTGATTTGAACTCTTTTCTTACTCCATGTTTGCTTTCACAGTTTTCTATTTTTGGCATGAGCACATATTTTTAAGTAGAAGAAATTCACAAATCAAATCACCACTAACATCATAAGATGCCTTTTGAACCTAAATATAATGTCAATCGCTTGGAAAAACAAAACAAGCAACCTTGTAAATTACCGCTTTGAATATTTGCACAGAATACTAGCCTTTTTTTTTTTTTAATAACCTTTCAGCAGCTATGACTATGTATGAAGGTAAATGTGCGTCTCAGATTGCAGGAGTGTGTCCCTACTGCTCTGCCTTCGGAGAACATGAAAAGATTCACAAATCAAATCACCACTAACATCATAAGATGCCTTTTGAACCTAAATATAATGTCAATCTCTTGGAAAAACAAAACAAGCAACCTTGTAAATTACCGCTTTGAATATTTGCACAGAATACTAGCCTTTTTTTTTTTAATAACCTTTCAGCAGCTATGACCATGTATGAAGGTAAATGTGCGTCTCAGATTGCAGGAGTGTGTCCCTACTGCTCTGCCTTCGGAGAACATGAAAAGATGCTTTGAACAACTTTTGGAAATTACATGTGATGGTGGCAGGGAGCAGACTGCTTTGTCTTACAGCATCATATGAAGTTGGATTGCATTTGGTTAAATGTGCAGTCCGGCTTGTTTCACACTGTCCATTTCATAAATGCATACACAAGCGAAGTGTGGGCCAATGATGCTGTAAATACAATGTCCTCTCTGTGGTGCATCATAAAGTCGTGTTGACTGTGGACATCTTGGCCCATCCTGAAGAGAGCAGGGCTAATTTTCTTGGGTCTCCAGTAGCCCAGAGCTTGTGAGTCAGGCCTTATCACCAACCACAATCATGTGAGATTTTCAGGACCCCACATAAGACATCCTAGAACAGTCATGGGTGAGCAAAAGGGTGCTTTTTGTTTTTTGTTTTCGAGTCATATATGTTAGGGACCTATTTTAATGGGAGCATGAATTTATTTAATCTATTTGAGGTTGTAAGTTTGATAAATTTTTGATAGACAGATAAAGCACTTTGAAAACTTAACGGATGGGGCAAGAGAAGGGCATACTGAGGTCGTACCCTTGAAAGAGGAAGTAAATAAATATGCTGGAGCTTTGAAGCACTAGCAAGGAATATAGAGCCACAAGCCCAGCTAGTGTCTTCATATGGAGGGTTTTGGCCAGATATTTTCTATGCAGAGACCACCTCTGAAATAATCATTCTTCAGTGCCTTTTGCTTCTGGTGGGGTCAGGAAAGTCATGTGTGAGTAACACACTTGGTTGAGGAAATAATCATGGTCAGGAAATGTTCGTAAAGAAAAAGATTGGCTGGTTAGCTCAGTTGGTTAGAGCATGGTGCCGATAACACCAAGGTCAAGGGTTCAGACCCCTGTATTGGACAGCCATGAAAAAACACCAAGAGAAGGATCAAGCCTTCACACTTACATTTTAATCAGAACTGCTAGGAAGTCCTGACAGGCCCAATAAGTAGATAGAGGATGGAGTCACAGAGCTCTTTGCACGGTGGTTCATCTCAGTGCTATGCAGACGGCCTCCAACCCCAGAGGTGCGTGCACCTTCCTGCAGAGTAACACAAGGTAGCCCAGGCAGCCCGTGTGTTCTCTGTTCTTTCCAAAGTGTGCCTGGCCCTCCACGGGTGGGTCTTACCTTCGGGGGACAGGTGCTTCCCTCTAAGGCCTTGGGCTTCTCCAGCCTCGCGCTCTGCCACCATCACCCTAGCCCTGATGCCGTTCCTGTCTCCCCTCACACCTTTGCTTCCTTGACCGACCTTGCGTGTCTGGCTGCTACTCCAGGATACCATTGACATTCCTTTCCTCCTTGAACTTCACCCAGGCCACACTGGGACTAGCAGGTAGCAGCAGCCTGGGCATTTTGTACTTCTTGTGTTTGTAAGAAAACGCAATGAGCTCTGCATCCTAGAAACACTGTACTGAGTGGCTGGTGTTTAAACAGCAGCCCTGCAGCTGCACCTAGTTGCACAGCCTGGGATGACCGCCCCCCTGCTATGCACTGAGCACGCCCCCATGTGTGCCCTGTGTGGGCAGGGTGGGTGTCAAGAATGGATGTTTGATTTTAAGATACCTGGGTACAGTACATGAAGAATAGGAGACACACAGGTGGCTGGGAAGATAAAGGAACTAACTCAATGTCTTTTCTTGGCTCTTAAAATAAATCAGCTGTGGTACTAAATAAATCTCACCTCCCACCCGGCAGGGAGGGAAAGGTGACTCCTGGATGATAAGAGCGTAAACGGCGTGTTGCATCAGGGACGGCAGAGACGAGGGTCAGGTCCCTCTGCAGCTCGGTGGCTTCTGCTGTCTCCTGCTCCTGGGACCTGGGACGGGCAGTGGTGGTGCTCAACCCCGGGTGGGGGCTGGGCAGTGGGTGGTGCCAGCCTGTGACCCACAGAGAAAACCAGATGGGCCTGGGAATGGAAGATGCAATAGCAAGGGGAGGAAACTAGGTCAGAAACAGCAGCCTTTGGGGGCGCGGGGCCAGTGTGCGTGGCTGGGGGCTGGGTGGATCTGAACTCCCAGCCACCAAATCATCCTGGGGGAGGGGACAACTGGCCGAGCTCCCGCTGATGTCCTCTTCTTGCTCTTTCCTGTTTGAAGGACGGAGGCTGCACGTGTCCAGGAGATGTCGCCAAAGCCTTTGGTAAGGCAGGTCCCTGGCCCAGAGGGAGGGCAGAAGAGAGGGAGGGAGGGGACCTGAATGAAGAGGGGGACCTGCCGGGGAAGTTCTGGGCCAGTCTAGAGGTTGCTCTTCCCGGGTTTCAGCCCCAATTAGCCTACCTGGCATCGGATTGCCTCTGGTCTCTGGCAGAGCAGGCCAAGTGCCCAGGAGATGGATCCAGGGGTGATATCCTGCAAGCCAAGAGTGAGTGAAGTCACAGCCTTTTCATCCTGGGAAGTGAAGCATCAGGGGACCTGCTGAAGAGGACAGTGCCAGGTCTGATGCAATACAGGGAGGGTCTTTTGGACTCAACCAGAGCAGTCCCGTGGAAGGAACAGGAGTCCCAGCAGCAGTTTGTCACCGGAGGCTGAGGAGCCTGTCTCCCACTAGGGGGCAGCAGAGCCCTCTGTGGTCTGGCGAGGCCGACACTGCAGGGCCCCAGCCGGTGTTCTGCGTTTCTCATGGAAAAGCGCTAGGAAGTCCAGCGTCTCAACCTTAACGGGCAATGAAACAGGGCTGCTGAGCTCTGTGCCAGCCACTTAACATTTGCAAACTACATTCAGAAGTCAGAGCTGGCTGCAGAGCTGGGGGCTCCAAACTTAGTGGGAGCTATGGGTGCCTGCAGGAAGCAGAAACAGCTCCTATGTTCCCACCCTTTTGCCAGCAAAAACAAAAACGAGACATAGTCTGTGTGTGGTTTCTTTGGAACTTTTCTGTCTTAGGAGTTGTGTTTTTTTAAAAAAAAACAGAAACAATGATAGTGACAAAGGAAAACACAGGGCAGTGTTCTTAGCAGTTTTGCCAGCAAAAACAAAAACGAGACATAGTCTGTGTGTGGTTTCTTTGGAACTTTTCTGTATTAGGAGTTGTGTTTTTTTAAAAAAAACAGAAACAATGATAGTGACAAAGGAAAACACAGGGCAGTGTTCTTAGCACCAGAGTTTCATCGCTACCCAAAGAATGTTATAAAAGTGGAATTTAAATCCATTCTAATCATAGATCTTATCTGTGGAAGGGAATGTATAAATCCTCTATTTATTCCAGCTTGCCCATTTTATAGATGAGGAGTGAGGCCCCAGGAGGTGAATGACAAGCTCACGGTCCTACAGTCAAGGGCAGGGCAGGGAGAGCTCAGGACCTCTGTGACCTACTGCTCTCACTTATCCCTTCTTATGAGGATCATCAGCCAAGGACATTTTTACTACTCATTTTTGAGCTGTATTTAATCCTGCTGGGTGTGCCATCTTGGGCTCCATTGTAAAACCTCACGTGTGCTGTCTGCACAGAGTGGGAGCTGAACACACTTTAAGGTGACTGTTAAGAAGGGGCCTTGTAGATAACAGTCCCAGCCTGTGGACTCACGCTCAACTCAGTCTCCCCTGGGTGTCCTTCCCTCCTCCGCTCTCCTTGCGGTCAGTGCAGCGATGCCTGTGCATCGCTCAGTAGAGGGAGAGAGAGAGAGACCGTGTCGGGAATACTCTAATCAGGAAGGACATGGGAGTGTTCAGAAAGGAGAATAGTTGGGAGCCAGTTCAAAGCATTCTTTAAGTGGATCTGTGCTGTGTTCCCACTGTTGACATCTGTTTCTCAGCAGCCTCCGTGCATGTCTCTGCTTCTGGGGTTGTGGTCATCAAGAAGCCTGGTCAGACACCAGGGATCCTCTGTTCCCTTAAAGTCATGGCGGGAGGACCAGGGAGCTGGTGTTTGCATTAGGACACCTGGAAGAGAGGGTCTGCGGTGCTTGCTGCCATGTAGAAAGGGTCGTGTTGTGCCTTGCTCACCTGAGTGCCAGGCCGAGGGCCAGCCCTACAGAGCATGTCTTTCTGAAATGCTGAACAGAAGGGCTGTGACACCGATGGAACTCAGAGACCTTGTACATGTTTAAATGACAGGATGGATGACGTTAAGGACACTTCTTGGGGCTTCCCACATTTTCTCATCCTAGTGAGGGTTTTGCCAGGCTCCCTTCCTTCATCGTCCTGATTCCTTAATTCACCTGCACCCTGATATCATCTTGTTCTGTTCTGAATGCAAGTCCTCAATAGGACTCACTCAGTAGAAGCTGTAGCAGTGTTGTAATATTCAGTGAAGGGTCCCTCTCCACAGTTAGCCATGAACACAATGGGGCACGGTGACTATTTTATTTCTTCCATATGTCTTTTTTACATTCTCAACATCTAGTTACTCAGCATCTACCGTGTGCCGTGCTCTGGGATAAACACAGAGCCAGCCCTGGTCCTGTTCCAGTACAGCCTGCAAAGGCAACTCCAGTACCCCCATCTCCTCATCCCTATCCTGCACATTTCGTGTCATTCGGTGCTTAGTATGGCATGTTTACCCTGGCAGTCTAATATTCAACACAATGGAGAAGCAGGTAGGGTTTGACGTGACATATAATATAGGGGTTTCTCTCTTCCATGCCCAGTCTCTGGTGTGGGAGGTTTGGTCTGTTCTGAGGCCCTTTCATGATCTACAAGTGCAGAAAGCGTCCGAGTGCTCGAGCTGAAGTTGGAGATCAGACACCTAGCAGGACACGATAGAGGTGTGTTGAGTACGAGACCGGATGATGTGCTAAGAGGCTGCCCATTCAAAGTGTTTCTCTGATTCTGCAAGAGTTAGAGCTCTGTTTGGAAGGTGGCCATAGTTAGTCATTAATAACCACTAAACAGCATCCAGTATACTCGCCACGAACCTTCGGGAGGCTGCACCTGTTCCCCACAGCGTCCCGTGCTCAGGTCTGTCTCCTGGCACAGGGGCCTGCTCCCTTTTTCCAAAAGAAGAGGTTGAGCCTTTTGGGGGAAGCGCTTGAATCTTTCCAGAGCTTATCTTCCCTGAGCTCTTTTCTCTGCTGCTTTACCATTGGTGTTTAGGAGCTGGAGCAGATTTTGTCATGCTGGGAGGGATGTTTTCGGGCCATACTGAGTGCGCTGGAGAAGTGATCGAGAGGAACGGACAGAAGCTCAAGCTCTTCTACGGGATGAGCTCTGACACGGCCATGAAGAAACACGCAGGGGGCGTCGCCGAGTACAGGTAAGCTTACAGA